AGGCGCTCCGCAGCAAGGTACGCACTGGAAGGTGGGCAGAGAGCACACCAGGCAAAGGTCTCGGACAGCAGGGGCAGTGTAAGGGAAACTGACGAATTCCAGAATACCAGAAATGATCATCAATACATACAAGAGAAACTGGGGGAAATAAAAGTTTGGGGAATTGAAAATACCACCTTTTACACTTAACATTACTACCCAGGAATTAAGATGCAAGACACAAGGATCTAACAGATACCAAGCCCTGTATCTCGAGCATAGGAAAGGAAGTCTGAGAGAAGTTGCTTCCTAACCAGAAACAACCTAGAGTGTTCACTGAATGCACGTTCTCTAAAGAAACAGGTTGGGCGTGGCAGGGGTGGGGTCCTGCCTGTAATCTCAGCACTTTGGGAGGCCAAGGACGGATGACAGCTTGAGGCCAGGAGTTCAACATCAGTCTGGGCAACACAGCAAAACCCCATTTCTATAATACAAAAAATTAGCCAAGCATGGTGGCTTGTCTGCAGTCCCAGCTACTCGGAGGCTGAGGCAGAAGGATCGCTTGAGCCTTGAGCTCAGGAGTTTGAGGTTGTGGTGAGCTATGATCACATCACTGAGCTGGGTGACAGAGCAAGATTCTTAACTCAAAAAAAAAGAAAAAAAGAAATAAAAGTTGAGGATTGTTTTATCACTCTCTTCTAAATTTTCTACAGACTAAAGATTTGGGTCCCCACCCACTCCCGTCAGGAGCTTTCCTCCTCCTTCCCACCTAGGTCAGTCTGAGACCCAGAACACCCCACCTCAGCTTCATTCCGTACTCGCAGCAGCATTCCTCTAACTATGTATCTCTCTTTAAAAAGAAAAAAAAAAAAACAGTATCAAACCCTTAAGTATGATCCCTTCTACAGATACTTTGAAGCTTTTGACTATGACCCACAGAAATACATTTTATATCTGGGGCCAGTACACACTCACAAAAATCAACTAGATGAAACCTAAGTTTCTCAAAATATTCATCCTTACTACATGTGACAGACTGATGTTGCCCATTCTATTCCACTTTTTTACAGTTTTGGTTTTGGGGGGGGGCAGGTTTGAACCCACCACCTCCGGTATATGGGGCTGGCGCCCTACTCCTTTTTGTCACAGGCGCTGCCCTCTACTCCCCTTTTTTGTGACTCATCTCAGTTTGAAGCACTTAATAGATGAGGTCCACTAAGTAGCAAGAAGGAAGTAAACAGCTAGAGTCTACAGGCAGGCTTCCTGGATCCAAAGACCGGCTCCACTCCCTGTAATCCATCAAGCTCTCTGCCTCAGTTTCCTTGTCACAGGACAAGAGAAGTGTTTATCACAAAATTAAAGATTAACCAAGACCGTCCATATAAGGCACTTAGCCTAGAAAAAGTATAGTCACCCATTGCTCAACAATAGGGATGTATGGGTCATTAGGCAAAGAATGGTTTGTTAGGCAATTTGGCTGCGCTCACGTCTTAGAATGCACCTGCACAAACCACACACCGCGGCGTGTTACCTACTGAGTGCTGTGACACTACGGTGAGCATGTGCATCCAAACAGAGAAAAGGCACAGTAAAAACATGGCATAAAAGCTTTTTAAAGTGCACCTGTGTGGGACAGAAAGTTGCTCTGGGTGAGCCAGAGAGGGTACAGCATAAGCGTGATGTGAAGGACTCGGACATCACTGTACACTACCCCAGACTTATAAATACTGCACACTGGGCCTGCACCAAACTTACAAAATAATTACTTTAATAATAAATTAAACTTACTTTACTGTTAACTTTTTAACTTTATAAACTTTTTAATTTTTAACTTTCTGACTCTTTTGTAAGAACACTGAGTTTGCCACAGACATATTATACAGATATACAAAAAATACTTTCTGTGTTTGTTCTGTAATCTTTTTTCTAATTTTTTTTAAGTTTTAAACTTTTTTGTTAAAAACTAAGACACAAACACACACATCAGCCCAGGCCTACACAGGGTCAGGATGAGCAGAACATCACTAGGCATCAGCTCCATTATAAATATTATAATTTTTTTTTCTTTTTTTTGAGACAGAGTCTCACTTTATTGCCCTCAGTAGAGTGCTATGGCGTCACAGCTCATAGCAACCTCCAACTTCTGGGCTTAGGTGATTCTCTTGTCTCAGCCTCCCAAGTAGCTGGGACTACAGCTGCCACAATGCCCAGCTATTTTTTGTTGTTGTTGTTGTTGCAGTTTGGCAGGGGCTGGGCTCGAACTCGCCACCCTCAGTATATGAGGCCAGCACCCTACTCACTGAGCCACAGGCGCTTCCCCACTATTATAATTTTTTAAGACAGGGTCTTGCTTTGTTTCCCAGACCAGAGTGCAATGGCATCCTAGCTCAAGTAGCCTCCAACTCCTGGGCTCAAGGGATCCTCCTGCCTCAGCCTCCTAAGAGGAGCCATGAACCAGGCGATTAGCTGACCACCATGGCCAGCTAATTTTTCTATTTTTTTTTTTTTTTGGTAGAGATGAGGTCTTGCTATGTTGCTGACTTAGCTCCATTATATATAAGCTTATGGGATTATAGGCAGTCCACAAGTTATGGACGAGATAGGTTCTGTACATTAATTCCTAAGCTAACTGTGTATGTAAGGTGGAACAAGTATATTTAGCTATTGCCTGTTCATAAGTACAAGTTGCAGGTCAGTTGGATGTCTGTAACTCGGCGACTGTATACTTCTGCATGTTTCATGTAGTCCATGAAACATCATTATGTGGAACACGACTGTAACCAAGAAACAGCTTATAATAATCTTAAATGGTCCCTGAACATTCGTGTGTGAGGGGGTCTCGTTACGTCGCCTGCTCGTGGAAAACTCCTGAGCCCAAACTCCCACCTCGATTTCCCAAGCAGCTGGGACTGCAGGTGCACGTCACTGCAGCTGCTGGGGTAAAGTACACACGAAATTCATCATTTTGGCCATCGGACATGCACAGTTCAGTGGCACTCACAACACTGGGCGACCACCACCCTCTTCAGTTCCAGAACATCTTCATCACACCACAAGGAAATCCCACAGCCCGGGGCAAAGTCACTCTGATTCCCCGCCCTGCCCAGCCCCTGACCCTGCCCAGCCCCTGACAGACACTGCTCTGCTTTCTGTCTGGACAGGGTCAATTAACTTGGGTAGGATGAAGTGATTTTTGGAGTCACTGGTCCTCTTTAGCTGAATCTTGGCTGGAGGGGCAGATTTCTGCTAACCATTGCTCAAGTAAGCCGGTGAGTCACTTCAGTCAAGTCTGTGACGTATCTTAAGGTCAGAAATCCCTGTCCCTTTGGATAATTAGATCCAAGCTAGGTTACAGAACCTCTCCCGTGAATGCTCCAAGGGCAGAATCCCCAAAGCCTGCCCCGTGCTGTGGAGCAGACCACCTTCCAGCACACGAGACACAGGATGAGCAAGGCCCTAAGATGTTTCCTCAACACGTGGTAGAATATCACCAAAAGCCAAACAAAAAACACCAAAACCTCCCAAGAGTTGAACCCACAGAAAACCAAATGCTGATTGTTCAGTCTGCATTTTGAAAACACTTTTGAGGCCCCAAACATTCTTGAGCAAGAGGTAAAAGTGCACGTGGTCCAGATCTAGGAGGCCACCTCTGGCTCTAGGGTGTGGTGTCATTTCCTTTCTGGCCTCCACCCCTCTGGCACCCTTCCTTTGGGATGTGGAAGACCGGGCAAAAATAACTTTGTTCTTCCCAGAGGCTTGGTGGAGCCGCCCCGCCTTCCTCAGGGAAACAGCAGGGGCGGAGAGGATGCCCTCTCCAGCCGCACAGTTTTGCTGTCAGAAAGGGGGAAGGCAGAAGGCTTCTTAGGCCAAAGAAATAAATGTCACCAGGACACACGGAAGGCTAGACTAGAAAACACTGTCACTGGTGCCAGGGAAGAAGCCAGTAGTTTTTATTTTAAATAAAACAAACAGGCACCGTCCGGGGCAAACAGGCAGCAAAGCCTTGGGCTGCTGCCCACTGCCCTTTGCCCCGGCTGTGCACCTGCGCTCCTGACTGTGTCCCCACCCAGCACTGCGTCCACCCGGCTTTTCTGGAGGGTGAGCGGAGCGGGAGTCCAGAACCCAGAGAGCCTCCGTGACTCCCAGCGCAGCAGTCAAGGGTGGCTTCACTGCTTTCGGGCAGGAAGGAGGGCTTTTTTGTTTTTTAAAGATACCGGGTTTTGCCCGATCGCCTCCCAGGCTGGAGGGCAATGGCCGGATCAAAGTTCACTTCAGCGTGGAACTGTAAGACAGCAGAGATCCTCCCGCGTCGGCCTGGAACTGCAGAACCACTGAGATCCTCCCGCCTCGGCCTCCACGGCAGCCGAGCACCGGGCGTGCCCCCCTCCCAGTGGGAAAAAGGCCCAAGCAGCAAAGTAGCCCAAGAGACAGCACATCTCCCACTCCGGGGTAGGTTCTGCTCGGAACTGTGCCAAATTTTAGAAATGTCCTGAGCTGGAGAGACCCTGAGGTGGACGAAAGAGAACTCTCTGGAGATCCCAGTCCCCTGGCAAGTCAGTGAGAGCACAGGTTCCCTCGACTGCAGAGAGGGACTCTCTAGGCTCCACTCTGGACATCCCCAAAATCAGCATCTCAACAAAAAGGACCACTCGGGGAGCCGCCACTTCCTGCAACGCCCAGGCGATCCTTACGCTGGGCAAGTTTGGAACCGCACATGCCTCAAGCCTCCCGCCTCAGGCGCTCAGGCGAGGGTTCTAGGGTCCCACCCACGCGAGCCCCCAGCGCCCGAAAAGAGGTCTGTGTGCTGGACGCCGGGAGGACCCCGCGGGGCGGCTGCAGCAGGTGCCCGGAGTGGAGAGGTTGCTGTCCCTCGGGGCGCTCAAACTGCGCCCCACGCGCGGCCCTGTCCCGGGGCCCAGGGCTGGGCTCGGAGGTGACCGCGCTCGGCTCCCTCCACCCAGAGTGAGGCAACTCTGGAAACTTCCCGGGAACGCGCCGGCTCCCCGCAGCACCTCACTAACCTGAGATGGTTTCCTGGTAGCCCTTGGTGAAGAACTGCATGGCCGTGGCCGCCCTCCAGGGCGTCTTGAGCAGCCCTTGCCGCTGGGGGTCCTCGCCCAGAGCGCTCAGGATGGACGAGTAGGCGGCCGCCAAGCTGGGCAGGTTCAGCTCGTTATCTTCCTCGCTGCGGGGCCGCTCGCCCTTCCAGCTGTCCGCCGGCGGGGCGCTCGTGGTCTCGGGCCGCGAGGCCCTCTCTGCCGACCGGCTGGGCCCGGGACGCGGCGGCTCCCGCTCGGGGGACCCATTGATGCACCTGGCGCCCGGCAGCTTCTCCACCGGCGCCCGCACCGGGCCGTTCTCCATGGATCCGCCGCTGCCTATTCAAGGTGGGCCCCGGGGCCCTTCAGGGGCTGCGGACGGAGAGTTTTGGCTGGGGTCACCTGCGGAAGGGGCAAGACCCGCCGAGGTCACGCTCCGAGTCGCGGGCCCGGGACCACCTCGCGCCACCTTTTTATGGCTGGGCGGCTAGGCCGGCTCCGAGCACCGCTGCCATTGGCCGGCGCCGCGCGCGTCACGGAGTTGGCCCCGCCCCTAGCCCTGCCCTGGGGGTGTGGCCCGGAGCAGGGGCGGTGGCTCCGTGGGGCGGCGGGAGGGACGTCGCAGGCTCCAGCCCAGATGCCCAAATCCCAGCGGTCCCGGGTCCGAGAGTCGGACCTCGGCAGTGGAGGCGCGGTGGAGGCGCCAGATCAGCCCCCTCTGCTGCTTCAAAAGCTCCCCAGGGCCCCAAGCCCTGAAAGACCCGCAAACAGGTGCCTTGCCCAGGAAAAGACCGGGGTCAGCCCTCGATAAAGAAACCCAACTCTTCAGCTTTTAAGGCAAGAGAATAATGTGACTTGAAACTCTTGCTTTTTACTTGCAAATATGTCCAACTGGCCGTCCAGGAGTCAGGTAGCACCGCCGTCAGGACAAGCGCACACTGAGTGCCTCTTCGGTGAGTCCCTAGACACGTAGCAGTCGCGGTGGCCCTGGAAAAATCGATTTGCAAGCAAAGAAAAGATACAAGTTTTCGTTTAAAACCAATTTGCATTTTCTAGACACATAATTCAGAAAATTTGGTGCTCGATCGTTTTAACGCGCCGTGAGAAGCTCCTTCACCCCATGTTGGTACAAATTGTGAAATGCTATCGATCCGCTGGACTCAACCCGAAGCATCTGCTTTGTTTTCTTTGAGATTAAGAGATCCCAGCTCTGGGGAGGCAGGGGCGAGGTGAATTGGATTCCTTGATCTCAGGAGTTCAAGACCAGCCTGAGCAAGAGCAGACCCTGTTTCCACTAAAAATAGAAAAACTACTAGGGAGTTGTGACGGGCTCTTGTAGTCCCTGCTACTCAAGAGGCTGAGGCAGGAGGATCCCTTGAGCCCAGGAGTTTGAGGTGGTTGTAAGCTCAGCTGACACCAGGGCAGTCTAGCCTGGGCAACAGTGAGACACTGTCTCAAATAATAATAATTATTATTATATGATTTTTTACATATAAGCAGATAGCAGATACTAAGAGATTTAGGATGGGGAAAACTAGTAGAAAAGCCTATGGAATTATTCTACACTATAGGTTTGGTCAATGTTTTTGTTTTTTGAAACAGTCTCACTATGTCACCCTGGGTAGAGTGCTGTGGCATCACAGCTCACAGCAACTTCAAACTCTTGGGCTTAAATGATTCTCTTGCCTCAGCCTCCCAAATAGCTAGGACTACACAGGTGCCTGCCACAACACCCGGCTATTTTTAGAGAGAAGGTCTTGCTCTTGCTCAGGCTGGTCTCAAACCCATGAGCTCAGGCAATCCACCCTCCTTGACCTCCCAGAGTGCTAGATTATAGGTGTGAGCCACTGCACCTGGCCTATAGGTTTGGTCATTACATTTAGTTAATTAGTACATACTGGATGTCTGCTCCAAGAATATCCATGCTCTAAACATTTAGGAAGGGACTATGTCTGGCCTTATAGGTACTTTTAGTCTAAAATAGAAGACTTTTTTTTTTCAGTCTTACTCTGTTGCCCAGCTAGAGTGCACTGGCCTCATCATAGCTCACAGCAACCTCAAACTCCTGGGCTCAATTGATCTTCCTGCCTCAGCCTCCCAAATAGCTAGGACTATGGGCACTGGCCATTCTGGGCTAATTTTTCTTTTGCAGTTTTTGGCCAGGGCTGGGTTTGAACACGCCACCTCCAGCATATGGGGCCGTTGCCCTACTCCTTTGAGCCACAGGCACCGCCCTAATTTTTCTGTTTTTAATAGAGGCAGAATTTCACTCTTGCTCAGACTGTTCTCAAACTCCTGCCTGGGCAGAGTGCTGGGATTACAGGTATGAGCCACCTTGCCCTGATCATTAATGGGGTTTTATAAGATAGTTTTCTAATTCCTATGTACATTAAACAGCAAATTCTATAAATCAATAAATTCATATTTCATCTAGAAAAAGGCTCTTTAGCACTCTCTTTATTGTAAATGTTTTTGCTGTCTACAAGGCCCCTGGATGTCTCTTCCCCACTGCACACCGTCCACGGATACCTCCTGGTTACATTGATCTGTCAGGTGTCAAACTAATTCAAGCATAGTTGAAGTCAATATTCAAGGGATGGCCTTGCATGCAAGTAACTAGTGAAAACAAGGATACAAAATGAGTTACTTTTAAGATGCAGGGATTAAATGGAGAAGCTCTCAGCATATTTTGTATGCTGGGCACAGTGGCTCACACCTGTAACCGCATCACTTTGGCAAGCTAAGGCAGGAGGATAACTTGAGGCCAAGAGTTTGAGACCAGCCTGGACAACCAGGGAAGACCCTTCACTCTACAAAAATTTTTTTAAAAGCCAAGTGATACGCACCTGTAGTCCATGTACTTGGGAGGCTGAGGCGGGAGAATGGCGTGAGCCTAGGACTTTGACACTGCAGTGACCTGTAATGATGCTGCTGGAAGCTCTCAGAACTCTGTGCTCTTGGGCCTTTTATGCTCTCTCCAGACCTAGCAACAGAACAAGACTAAGGTGACCAGATTTTAACACTGGTAAAGCAGGACACCATTGACCTGGCGGGCTGGAGGGGAGAGGTTCTTAATTTAAAATTTGGTCTATATGGAGCAACAAAAATTTTCATAGAATGCAAAAATAGTATTGTAATATATTTTTTAATTTCAACATAAGTACAATTTACAAATATAAATACATTTTTAAAATTATGTATAGTATTATTTTATTTTATTCTTTGGCATATTTCTCATTTGAGTGAATTTTTTTTAGTAGATTACTGTCATTGTTTAAAAGGTCATGAGATTTTTCACAAGAATTTGTTAAATTATATTTCACACATAAAATGGCTTTCAAAGTCTCAACACTTAATTGTGATTTTTCTGATGTCCACACTTTATTTACCATAGAAAAAACGCGTTCAGTCGCAGCATTAGTGCCTGGTAAGAACAGCTCATATCCCATAATTTTTAGTGCATTATTGTATGGAACATGGTTTGTTTCAAAATAATGAAGTATTTCTAACCATTTGTTCTCTATTGTGATTTTTGCTGATGCCCAAGATTTAACCTTTTCCTTATCAGTATATTTTTTTAATAATGATACCTTGTAAGTCATAAGTGTCACTTTCAAGGCCAGCGCTAGACTTTTTGCCGCCACTATAAAATATAAATAATATGAGTACTATCTGCTAAATTCATGAAATAAATAAATTACTTACCTAAATTATCCGAATAGCTGATTTGTTGACATCACTTGTTTAACTAGCACTAGCACGCAGTAGGATGTGTAACATCTGAGAGACAGTTACAAAATGTTTTCGTGGTTGCCAATGCCAAAAAATGCCATTGTTCATTAAGTCCAAACAATGGTGGTAGAATTCTAACAACTGATGAACAATGCAAACTTTGATAAGCAGTTCTGGATAAACAGTTCTCAACAATTATTTGTTATTATTAAAGTTTGACATTATAAAATTAATAAAAACAATATAAAACTCATATCCTGGCGAAATAGCCACATGGCAGCCAGAAACTGTATGTTTCCTTCCCGTTCTCCCACCGTTCCCTAGCATGTCGTGCATTCTCTCCAAAAATCGGGACTTTTTAAAAATGCTACAGGACATGGGACAAATTGTTAAAAATTGAGACTATCCCACCAAAAGCGGGACGTCTGGTCACCTTAAGCAAGACCCTATCTCAAAAAATAAAAATAGTTTATTTCCAGTGGTAACCTTTTGCTTTCCTTTACAAACATTCATAAGCATTAACTAATATCATTCATACTGAAAGACAATTGCTAAGAAAAGAAAAATTTTACCCTATCAATTAACATTTTTCTTTTTTTTCTTTTCTCTTTTTTTCTTTTTTTTGAGACAGAGCCTCAAGCTATCACCCTGGATAGAGCGCTGTGGCATCACAGCTCACAGCAACCTCCAACTCCTGGGCTCAAACGAGTCTCCTGCCTCAGCCTCACAAGTAGCTGGGACCACAGGCGCCCACTACAATGCCTGGCTATTTTTTTGGTTGCAGCCTTCACTGTTGTTTGGCAGACCTGGTCTGGATTCAAACCGGCCACCTTAGGTGTATGTGGCTGGTGCCTTAGCCACTTGAGCCACAGGCGCCGAGCTTCTTTTTTTTTTTTTGAGACAGAGTCTCTCTGTGTCACCCTGGGTATAGTGCTGTGGCATCATAGCTCACAGCAACCTCAAACTCTTACCTTAGCCTACTAAGTACCTGGGACTACAGGCACCCGCCACAACACCCTGTTAGTTTTTCTGCTGTTGCTCAGGCTGGTCTCAAACTCCTGAGCTCAATGGATCCTCCCCCCTTTACCTCCCAGAATGCTAGGATTACAGGCATGAGCACAGGAATCAGCAGTAACTCTCCTCTTTTATAAGTCCTCAGAAGCAGGCTTCAGAAAACAGAATCAATCAGTCAATCTCTCTCTCTCTCTCTCTCCTGACCGGCTCCTGCTCTCCTTTTCCCAGCCCCAGGCAGGATTCTAATCTTACCCAACTTTCTGATTGTGACTCATAAGACCCTCACCCCAGAGAGGTCCCTGCCCCATACCCTGGAGGAAGGAATGTCACACAGAGGCTCAACCCCATTTCCACAGGCTGGCCTTGGTTCTGTCAAGCATGTCCAATGAAGTCTCCATCAAAGGCCCAACAGGACGGAGCTAAGGGCTTCCGCATAGCCCGCGTGTGGAGGCTCCTGGATGGTGGTGCCCAGAGGGGCAGCAGGGTTCAGCACCCTCCCCCCATTTTACTCTCTGCCTCCCTTCATCTGTAGCCTTCGTAATAGCCTTTATAAAAAAACAGTAAATATGTTTCCCTGACTTCCAAATTAATCAAACCCAAAGAGGAGATTGTGTGAACACCAACTTGCAGCCAGCCAGTCAGAAGTTCAGAAGGAGGCTTTGCAACCTGCCGCTGGTGGGAAGGAGCAGGCAGCCTTGGGGACTGAGCCCTCAGCCCCGGAA